TTGCCAGAAGAGTTTTTCCTAGGTTTTCTTCTAGAATGTTTATAGCTTCAGGTCTTACATTTCAGTGTTTAATACACCTTGAGTTAATTTTTGTGTATGGTGAAAGCTAGAAATGCAGTTTCATCCTTTTGTATATGGCTATCCAGTTTCCCAGCACCATTGATTGAATTGAATCTTGTTTCCCTAGCCTGTGTTTTTGTCTACTTTGTCAAAGATCAGTTGGTTCTAGGTATATGGTTTTAAAGTTTATAAAATATTTTCAATGTACATTTGTTTAATGTCTATGATATATAATATTATGGGATCATTATAGCAAAACATTAGGGAAGATATTGTCTTTATATCCATCTTATATTTGGAAAAGAAAATAGGTTAAGGGACTCATCAAAGTTCACAGAGCTATTTATTGAAAGAGCCAGGAAAAGAACCGAACCATTCTGACTTACACACTATGCTTTATTTTCTCTGACATATTTGTTACATCATATTCAAGAATAAAGTGCTATGTTATTAAAATTAAAAACAATAAAATGAGAAATGTTAGTTCTCCCTAAATCATGATTACAGATAATGGACCAAACTCATAGGGGTTTATAGACTGATCATTAGTTATCTTTAATTTTGATATATGCAACAGCAACAATAACATTTTAGGTCCAAAAATACAAGAAATTATTTAAAATTAGTTGTAGTTAAAAATAATCATATAAAAATACTCTTCCTTGGTGGTTTTTATTATCTTTCTCTTTCACTCTGACCCCTCTTCAAATTTTTTAATGGATATATATTTGTTTTTAAACTCAACATACCATTTGCATATATTCTTGCTAATGAGAAATTATGGCTTAAGTTTATATCCAGGGTATTGCAACGGTGGTAGAATTCTCAGTCAGTGTGTTTGATTTGCAGTGTTTTAAACTTCAGAAGCATTCCTCTGTGGCTAAATACTTTGTCCTTCATAGCAATTAAAAGGTTGCTATGAAGGTAGCATCCTAGTAAGAAGTGATGTATCCCAGTTATACAGTTTGTTTCCACTGACTTTTCTTAAAATTATAAGTCCTTATCATAACATGATGTTTGGTTTCCTATAATCCTGTTTCATTTGTGACTTGCTGTTTTAAATGTATTGGTATTTTTAATTTTCAAATTTATTTTTCTGAAAAATCATAATAAAACATTGAAAATAAAGAGATACCACAAGGATATCTGTCCAGTATTGTTTTATCAGAGCATTTAAAACAACATTATTAAATATAAGTGCAAATCTTATTGTGACTCACATGAAGCCTGTCTATTATCAAAAATATACAAATAAAGAGGCTAGTGTTTGTCAAGCTTAGGGAAAAAAAATGAAGAGGCTGGATCCTCATGTTTGAAGACATATCTTGAGCTGATTTAACTTTTAGATCTCTGTCATTTGTATGTAGGTGTGTTTATGCGATTGTAACTAAATAAACTGATGAGTGATTTCAGTATGATGTAGAAGTATTTGTGGCTCTGTGTTAATAGGATTTTGTTTCAAACATTTCACTGACTATGAAGTCAGCTAAAGCAAATCATGATGACGCACAAAAGACAGATTTTCCAGATTTTGAAAAGAGGTTAAAGGCAGTAGAAATATTTTTACTTGCTTTGAAGTGTTTGAAATTGCCTGCTTTTGACAGAGAATAAAAAATTTCACGTGTATTAATTATTGTGATCTTTTAAATGATATTAACTCTAGAAATAGTCACCATTAATGATCTAAACTTGGTGGGAACACCTTTCTCTATACTGAGTCCCTGTCAACTGTTACTATATAATTATATAATTCCATTTGGAGTTTCAATATCGCATCTGGTTTTTTTTTATTCTGAGTACCACATAAATAAAATTACAAATCATAAGAGAATGGTTTATCCAGTTGATCTTCATTTTAGAAAATGAAGTGTAAAATCATGGCTTATTTGAAAACCTTTTGAATATTTAGGAACTGGATAGATGTATACCTAGAAAGAATGAATGGACAGATGGGGAGGATGAAATGGGTGTAGGGACAGTTACCCATCTACGCCACACAGGAAAGGAGGCAAGGGCGAATGTGGGAAAGAACCCCCTTAGATCCTTGGGGAGCATGGAGAAAGGAATGTGGATATTTTTGAGAGTTAGTTTTCAAAGTTGAAAGGGAATGGAATGGAAAGTGTTTGATAGTAAAGAATATGTCTCTACATCTGAAAAAACCATAATACGTAGTAAAAACTCTATTGATGATTTTTTTCTTCATGATATATAATACGTAGCTTTCAGTGTTTACACGGCCTCTGTAGAGTTGGTCCAAGTGGCTAAGCTGATTTGTGGCTTTAAGATGATGTGACTGTGAGGCCCAAATGGTTTCTTGCCAGACCTTGGATTGAGTCACTCAGCCACGCTCCTCTTCTGCATGCTTTCATAAAAGGCAAACTCACTGTCAGACACTCACCAGCTCTGACTCTGGTTTGGAGATTGTACACTGTATAGTTCAGTATACAAGAAGGTATTGCAAATGGTAAATACATTCCCCGACAAGGAACAGGAGCAAGTTTAGGGGTCCACAAGTCCCATCAAGATTTATTCTGTGAGCTGTCTTAGTTCCAACAATTTTGAAGATATCCCCAAATATTTTGTCTTTCTTTAGCTTTGCCTGCCCCCCGCCCTTTCTCTCATTCTCTCTCTCTCTCCCTCTGTCTTCTCTTCACACCTCCAATAATAACAGATTACATGTTCTCATCGGGTTGGAATTGAATGACAAACATCTGAGCATATAACGAATGTCAGATGCTTTTAATTTTGTGAGATGATTTTCAGTTTACAGAACTCTTACAATGAAACAGGTTTGAGTATGTCTTAGATAGCCGGGTAAAATGGGACTACCTGAAGCTGGAAACATATCTTGGAAGTTTTAAAGAGGAAGAGATGAAGAAAAGAGAAAACCTGATAAAAGGGAAGGAAGTAGAAGGTGTTAACGTTAGTAAATATAGATGCAACAAAAATAGACATTGGGATTAGATGAACACAGGCCTGGCTCTGCTGTTGGCACGAAGTACCTGTCTCCTTTGTGACCCACATGCATGACAATGTCCAGTGAACACTTAAGAACTGCCCTTGACTCCTTTGGTTTTTGGTATTTATTTGTCATCTACTTAATTGCTCCTAAAGTCTCCTGATTTCATTGAAACTGTACTCTGATCTTTCAGTATGACATTTGAGGCTTAGAACCAAATATCTGTGCGTTCCACTGAAAGATCATCATCTCTTAACATAGTATGATCAGGATAGTGTGAAAACTGGTGTTTTCCTCTGTCTTATGGCTCACTAATAGTCCTTAACATCTGAGTAATGTATTCACTTTAAGTGAGACAGAGGGACATCAGCTTTTCCCCAACTCTTACATATGATTCAGACAACCTACCACTCACATGTTCCACATCACATTAATTTTTGGGGGGGGGGAACAGGCTCTTTAGTTAAATTGGTTTGCAATATGCTATATGTCTTCCTCTTTTTACAGAGTCATTTGCATATTAATGGCTTTGAGAGTCCTTTTAAAAAAATAATGATAATGATGCTAAACCAAATCTATTTCCTAAACAGTTTGAGAAATGCCAAAATATGTTCAATGAATTACATGGCTGGATTTATTAATGGAAAATGTTAACACTGTTATATCAATTAAGGTGCAACCTCAGACCACAAAAAGAATCTCTCCTGACTCTTACGAAATCGTCTCTTTATTTGATAATGATGTATACGGTTATGTCCTAAAGTTTATAAATATTGACTAGAAACTAGATTATTAATAAGCTTTCCCATGGCTCGGCACCTGTAGCTCAAGCAGCTAAGGCGCCAGCCACATACACCTGAGCTGGAGGGTTTGAATCCAGCCTGAGCCCGCCAAACAACAATGACAGCTACAACCAAGAAATAGCCGGGTGTTGTGGCGGGCCCTGTAGTCCCAGGTACTTGGGAGGTGGAGGCAGAAGAATCACTTGAGCCCAGGAGTTGGAGGTTGCTGTGAGCTGTCATGTCACAACACTCTACCCAGGGCAACAGCTTGAGGCTCCGTCTCCAAAAAAAAAAAAAAAAGCTTCTTTCCCCACCACTTTCCCATATTCTGTACTTTTAATCCGTTTCTTTCCCTTTTGCTTCTTCCTTAGCCTTTCAGCCTCTCTCCTAGAAAGCCCTTTCTGAATCTCGATCCAACCCCTTACGATCAGGGAAAAAGTTTTATTCAAGCCAGTCTCCTTTTGCCTACTCTCCGGCCTCACCCTTCAGCTGTTAACTTGCCTCCAGTATCTTACCAGCCTGAATTCTTTCTTCAGGAGGCTCCCTTTTTAATCCTTTGTTCAGCCCAAACCTACACTTTGCTTCTCACATATGACAGGAGATACAGATGTCTGCCAAAATGTAAATACCGTTCCCCTTCTGAGCCACACTGACATTTTAATACAGAGCAGGTCTCGCATTGCACAGGACTGAATCCATGCAACGCCAGCCCCCAGCATGTGGGTGCTCTTCCTTCAGATCAGTCCCACAAGTCCATATGGAGGCCTTTGGCACTGGAGGAAGGTTGAGCAGCCCTGGGTCTCCTAGTCTACCTCGTCCTGTGCATGGAGCTTTCAGGAGTAACTGATGAAGAGGATACACAATGCCAATGTCTTTACTTTGAGAAACTACACTAGCACCATATGATGGCTGTTTGTATTAATTCACAGGAAAACTTATCTTTTTTTTTGATGTGCAAATGATAACCTTACTGGCTTGCCTAAAATGTCTTTCACATCTGTTACCTGCTGGCAGATTGGTTTTCCAACCACAGGCAATTTTGATTTAGCTATTACTTATTTTCATTCTTCTAGTACCCCTGGACCGTTCTCCATTCTGCTGTCTGCCACCAAAGCATGCCCAGGAATACTGTTAGTGTATTTGATTGGTCTCAACGATATTCACCTAAATGGTAACTCAGCACCTGTCTTTGCCCACAGGAGTGCGTCTTGACAGAGTACGTGGAGGTCGGCAGAAGTATAAGCGCAGAATAGATGCAGAGAACAGCCCCTACCTGAACCCTCAGCTGGTCCAGCCAGCCAAAAAGCCATGTGAGTACAGCAGCCGTGTCTGGCTTCCCAGAACATGAACTCCTCCCGGTTGGCTCTCTGTACATCAGCACTGGCGCGCCCATCCCTGCTGACTCCGAGGAGACTTCTCTTTGTTAGAGAACAGTAGCTCTGTTCCCGTGGATGGTCTGTGAGGAGCAATAGCAACTCAGTTAATGATCTTCTTCTTTTTTCTTTTAGAGATGTTTATGGTTTTCTCTTCTTAGTCTTTTTTCACCTAGCCATTTTGTGGGAGCATAAGCATATTAATGCAAAGCTTAGATAGTGCGAATTTTACATTTCCTGGTTATCTTTATTTGCAGAGGTACATAAAATGGATCATACTGTGATCATTAGTTCATTGGACCTGTTAGTCTCAGATTTCACAAGAAAGTGATTTTTGTAGTTTTCACTAAGTAAATGAGTTTGACTGCTCAACCTCCCAATGAAAATACATTAGGGGCCTCATTAATTTGGAGCGATAGAAGGTTAACACACTAGCTAGCAATAGATTAAACCATGAATGGGCCTACTAATAACAAGCATAGGTTGCTGGTTCCATCTGAGATGCCCTTATGGGCACTGTGAATTGTTTTTAAAGAGCCCATGGTTTTATGATGTCAGGATGCAATTTGAAAGGATGACTGGTAGATTGCTAAAAGGCAAGCCCCATTCTCTTTGTCATTAACTAAAAAGAGCTGGAATATAGAGTGAGGCAATAACTGTATCCCATTTTCTCAAAAATCAGTTAATAGTCGTAGTGCAGCAGGGCTCGAAGTTGAGGATGTTTACACACAGCATTCATACTAGGCGCTGAGAAGTGCTTTGGTGAAAACAGTTCTCACGTTCCCCTGTCTTTGTCTAAGAAGGCACAACCTACACTCACCATAGGAAGTTGCATCTACAGCACCTCTAGAAAAGGCCTGGGTAAGTTTTGATCCGCTTTCAAGGGGAGAGAAAGGGTCCACTGGTAATTCAGATTCTCCAGGAGGGGTCGCTACTGAGCATCATACATGTGAGCATCTGGGAATCTGTTAAATAAATAACACAGACCCTGAACTGTAAGTGAAAGGACATTTTAGCTATGTCAAAGGCAAAACAACCAGTTTTACATAAAATTAGAGCTTAAGCGAACATATGGCATAGTTTCCTTTTGCCTTTCCAAAAAACATTATGTTGATTATACCTTCAACTGTCCAATCTGGCATCTCCTCCTCAGCCTGCATAAGCTGTTTGGCATTCTGCAGATACAATCTAGGACTGCGTTAAGCAGATTTTGCACATTATAATAAAAACTTTCTGATAATACAATAAAATGCAATAAACACTAATGCTTAATTTCATTAGGGGTTTCATTTTCCCGAATTCAGTAATATACAGACTGCCCACTTTTCATTTATTCTGTACCAACATTGACTGAAACCGTTGATAATTTCCTCTACTGAAAGATAAGTGAACACCAGCCCATTTGCAAGTTGACGGGATAGAGAAACATGAATGGTTTTCTTTGTAAACCTGAGAAATTGGGAAGTAGCTTGTCAAGTACCTTTAAGGAGATTACAGCAGTTTCAGTGAGCTCCATTTATCTGAGATAAAGAGGACTCCTAATAAATCATTACTCATTATCTAAAGGCCTCTGTGTTAATTTTCCTTAGTCCATCCAATTAGGATGTTTTCGTAACAAACATTTATAAAACTTAATTTTCAGATCCTGTCAGATAAGTGTCAAGAGACTGTGCCTGGGCTTTGCCGAGAAAGTGTCGAGGGAGAATTCTGGACCCTGCCTGATTGTGTACTACAGGGGCCCGAGGATGGAAATTGGGTTCTATTGATTCTAATTAGGGGACCATTAAGTCAGATTTACCTACAAACAGTGCTGCTGGCTTTTCCATTTTCTGAATTATGGGATCTTCTAGGCTTCAACCAAATTTCTCTGACCCTTCAAGTCAAGGATCTGTTGACTTGAGTAAAACCAGTACCTTTCCCCTGTGCTTAAAAAAAGGAAAGAAAGAAAAAACACACACACACAACAACAAAACCCTAGAATTATGATTTCCCTCAGCTATAATTTCGTGCCCTTTACTATCGCATTTTCTTCTACTCCTGAGCATCTAGCAGTTGCTGACAGGTTTTGCTGCATTGTCAGAGCAATGAAAGTTGAAACTTTTCCAAGCGTAACTAAAAATACAGGGTGTTGTTTCTGTAGCATATACAAGAAGCAAGTGTCATTCTTTGCAGGTCCTGCAAATCATAAAGAATCTCTGTTTCATTTTTACTCTTTCTCCTAAAAAATCGGGTATTTGGGAATTATTTCTTCCCCAGTCTGCAGATTGAATTTGCTGATAATTGATGACTTCTGCCAATGACTGGTTATCTGTTGGCTATTTCAATGAATATACTATGGTAGCCATATTAGTAAATTTTAAAACTATTATATAAGTAAAAGTGTTAATTACAGCTTGGATAAGTCTATGTAAGGAGGCTAAAAGAATATTTAACTCTAAGTTATATGAAGCCTTTTCATTTTGGGTGAAGGAGGTTAAAACTTACAGTAAAAGGTCTGGGAAACACAGCAAAAACTTTGCCTGTGTTCACAAAGAATCTCATATAATACCCTTGCTTTCTATTGTAATAGTCCATAGAATATTTAAATATGGGGAGTTATTCTTGCTCATTCATAATCTCCTCATTTAGAAGAAAGTATAAAATCTGAAGCTACATATAGTAATTGAAAATAGGGCCAACAAGAAAAATCATTCTGTTAGCAAGGCTTTACAGCCCCTTCCATAAACTCTCTCATGCCCCTGAGCGATAAAACACATCTGATGTGATGGTTTCCATTTGTCTCCAGTGTTTATTTTATGAAGGATTTTTAAAACATATATCACAAATTTCAGACAGACAAATCTGAACCAGCGAATGAACCAAGGGCAACAGATGAGAATAGAGGATTAAAGAATTGGGCACTCCAAAGAGAAAATGCTGTGAAATTGAAGTAGGAGTATTTTTATGGAAAGTGATATTAGCTCTATTTGGAAGGTTGACTGGGTTGTGTGGGGAGGGGGAGAAGGGAAAGAGATTCCTGTTTAATGCATCCCATGGAGATAGAGTTCTATAGTCAGTAATTCACCCAGGCAGAAGGGTGCTGACCTTTGCTCTTCTTTAAAGGAATTAAGGCAATTAATGACTTCCATGCCCATCATGACTATGAGCATTAGTCATTCTTTGCCTCCCACATTATGGGGTCTATTTCAATAGTTTACTGTGGGTTTCTGTTGTAAAACTGTTGTATACTATTTAATCCGCTTCCCCAAATCCCACTTAAGAATCAAAAAGCAAACCCAGAAAGCATCTAACTTCTCTTCTATTTGCTATAACATGCTTCAAAAATGAAGATAGATGCTCCATTCCAGCAAAAGCAGCTGGAGAGAAGAAAGGCACGCACTCTGTCATCCCTGCAGCAGTTATGTCTTGCTATGAGTTTTCCTGAACACTGATTAATATGCATAGGTTGACCCATAAGTGGAATATTTGGGGTTTCTTATGGGCTATTTGAATTATTTCTCAAAACACAAACTACGTGAGCGTTTATAAAAGAGAGATGATGCCTAGTGATCTGGTAGTGTTGTGGTCTGATCCTGCAGATAACAAGATTGTCTCGCATTTGTTGGTGGCTGAACCGGAGAAGATCTATGCCATGCCTGACCCTACTGTCCCCGACAGTGACATCAAAGCCCTCACTACCCTGTGTGACCTGGCTGACCGCGAGTTGGTGGTGATCATCGGATGGGCAAAGCATATTCCAGGTACATTTTCTGAACAGAGAACGAAAAGAAAAGGTTGCAGTTAATTCCCTAGGTTACGTAGGTGGATTTGGGTGAAATTCAATATTCTCATTAGGATGTTAAGAAATCTTCACATTTGTTTTTAATCATGCTTAATTCAGAGTTTTGCTGATCCTGATGGGATAATAAACCTTTAAATATTTGTACCACCTGAGCTCTTGTTATTTTTTCACATACGAAGTTCCTATTGCCAATAGGCAATAAACTATTGGTTATAAACAGACTAACCTTTAAAAACCTTTCTTTATTCCTTTTAAAATTCTGAGCGTTTTCCTAAGACAGTGTTTCTATTTTTTCTTTTTACTTTAAAAACTGTTTCTGTCAACAATAGTCTAATGTACTTTTTTTTCCATTTAAGAATCATTCATTTTGTTGATCATGGTAGCTAATTATATTGAATAATAAGTTTGCTTTAGTTTATAATTATTTATCATCCATTTACATATAAACCATGAAAATGAGTGTTAACCTGGCATGCTAAGTTTTCTTATAAGATACCATATAGTTAATATTTTAAAATACTCTCTTATTCTTCTTTCATGACCTATCCTATGATATCAATAAACACGGACTTGATCCTGAGTTTTGAGAATTTTAGTACTCAGCTTGAATAATTTTTTATTTGTTTGGACTTTGATTTTCAAGTAGTTTATAAGCAAGTTTTCGAATGATGAACCATGCTTTTCTGGTACAGTTAACTTATTTCTGTCTCCTTAAACTAGTTTGTCTTTATGCTTTGAATGCTACAGTAATTTCTTTAATCAAATTGATGGAAGTCCCTTTCCCAGCCCACACTGAAACCAATTTATTGGTCATGATACGCCAGCTATGTTGCTAACAGTCGTAACGAACTGTCAGGCTATATCGCAGTGAAGCTAATTTGAAGTCATTAGGTGTGCAGCGTTCAGGCGACAATTTGTTACAGTGGTTAGGAACACAGCTGACATTTCTGAATGGCTTTGTTCGTTGTAGTTCTAGATGAGGCCAAGCAAATTGTAAACTAATTTAAACATCACTCTGTATTATACCAGCTACTTTGTCTTACACTGTTTGCTAATAAAGCCCCCTAAATTAAGTCAAAACTAGTTAAATAGGTGAGCTTGAGTGTATTCTTTAGGAGACATCTACGTGGGGGTGACTACATCTAAAGGAAGGATGAGGATTTCATCATGTGGATAGTTGGCATTGCACTTGGCCTGTAATTACATCTATATGACTTTTAGAAAAATGTTTTTTAAAAAGGCTTCTCTGAAAAATGTGAAGACATTTTAGTAACTATGGCAGTGGGACCAGCAGGAATTTGTTTTAACAGTACATGAAAACTTATTTGGAAGAAAAGTGTTAGGAAGGGTTTTAGAGCAGAAAAAAACAAAACTAACCTTTGCGAATATGTCCAAAGACAGTCAATATATGTTATACCATTTATTTTAATTTTATATTACATCATTATATGTGTATACACATATCCACACACATGCATTTTAAAGATATTGCAGCCCAGGGTTTCTCAGTGTTGGCACTATGGATATTTGGGACTGGATGTGGACTTTGTTTTGGGGAGGGGGGTCCAGTTCATTTCAGGATGTTTAGTAGGACCCTTGGCCTCTACCCAGTCCATGCCAGCAGCTCCCCTGAGTTGTGACATACACAAATGCCTTTGGACATTGCCAGATGTCCTCAGAAAGGAAAATTCAAACCAACCTCCCCCACCTCCCAATCGAGAACCATGTTATATCCCACAAACAAGTATTATTACTCTCAATTCTAAGATAGGGAGATTTGAGACGGAGAAATAAAAACTCTTGTGTAAGTTCACACACATATTCAGCTTTGCTTCCTGGAGTAAAATAGAGATATTTTAGTCTCCCAGTTAATTGTAAGACCTGTCTCAAAATAGCAATGATGATACTATTATTATTATTAACAACAACTCTGTTCCAGGCTATGTCGCTATTATTCCAACCATTCTCTCTCAGAGAATTCTGCTGAGGTTTTCCCTAAATTACAAGATGTGTTAAGCCAATATTTTGATATTATACAGGCAAGCCATAGTAAAGACCAATAAAAGTCAACAATTCCTCCCAAGCTTCTGGGAAGGAACGTTAATGATAAATTTGTGGGTCCATTTGTGCATCTAAGTGGAAATGTCAGCTCACAAAGGAACTTGTCACAGTGAAGGGGCTCTAGTGACTTTTGTAAAGATAGGAACTTTAAATAACTATGAGTAATGCCACTTCCAGTGGTGGAAACAATTACTATACGATTATGTGTTCAGTCTTCAGCAGAGGCTTAGGCTTGGTGGGGAATGACGTTATTCTCTCTCTATAGCAAATGACAGGAGTTCGCTGTGGAACGATGATTCACAGCTCTGATTTTGTGATACCCGAGGGTGTTTTAAATGATTGCAAGGAGTATCTTGGTTTTTCAGAAAGGGATTAGCAAAACAAGAATTAACTAAATTTAAAAAAAAAATAAATAATGCCTTTGCCTACAGTGTTTTGAGACAGAGAGAGAAAGCACGCCAGTATCAAAGTGTGCTGGCTGAGCTCGGGTTCAGGGAGTGGGGGCAGCAGGGGACCCCAGCAGCTCTCTGGGGCGCTAGACTAGGGAGGTGAAGGCAAGGAGAAACGAAAGAGTAGAATCACATTTCTGCCTTGGTAAAAGTAAAATCGTGTTCTGGATAACATGTACCAGTCTTGATAGCCAGAGTCAGAGCCAACATGAAAGCTCTGAAAAAATCAGAACTGAAATTTCACTTGTCTCAGCCTTAACTTTAAAACCCTTTGTTTTTGTAACACTTACGTTAACATTCAAGTAACGTCTTTTTTTTTTTTTTTGGATACACTAAAATTGAAACCGTTGTTAACCTTTATGCTGTTCTCAGTTTGTATAATCACATATCTGCGCACACACATCCATTTTAAATTAAGCACAGCATCCAAGATAAGATCAGGAGTTTCTCCGCACGGCTTCCACGTACTTTTATACACTTGCTTTTGCTGTATAAAAAAGTGAAGAATTCAACAAAAGAAAACATTCAAGAAAATACATATGGAGTGGGTTTTTTTTTTTTTATCAGTAAATAGAATTAGTTGACTTACATTAATAAATCATATAAATGGGAAAGTGTGCTGTTATGAAACATGACCATACTTTATCTATGGAAGAAAAAAGATCACAAGGGCTTTAGAAAATGCTTGACTTTACTTGGAGGAGCATAAGGGCACAAGAACAGATGATGGTGCCCTAATAGCCCTTTTTAAGAATGACAGGGCCCAGCCATTAGCATCCTTTTATATCCTTGGAAATTGCTCATGCCTCGCTTTTCTGGTTCCTATCTGCCTGACTCTTTTTTATTTCTCTTTCAATTTCGTCCGCGCTCGGATAAGCGCATGCTAACACAATATGATTGAGCTGTAAAATGGAGCGCTGTCGCCTCTAATCTCTTTTATGTAGATACGGAGGTCCTGCACACTCCACTTCATTCTCTCTCCATTGTTGGCCTTTTTTAGAATGGGTTGCCAAGTAATGGAGGCTCCGTCAAATATTAGAGCTAGATTTCACAGGGTGCGATAAGACAGTTATCAGCCCAACAGTCAGATCTATTATTGTTCTTTGCGGTTGATTAAAATATTATTATGTACTGTAACTTGGTTCGCAAAATGCAAAAGGTGCTTAGTCAGATGGTGCTTTAAAAAGCATACCCCATATTAGCTGACCTATATAAGTGGCTTAAATGTATTTATGGATCTTGCTAGACAACTTACTTTAAAAGAACAGAAAGGTATTTTAACAATTAAGTGAATGAAGGCACTTTAGAAAATTTTTTCCTTTGTCAACTCGGCGGATTTTTAAATCAGCTTGTTTATTTTTAACATGATGAATTAAATGATTACCTATTAAAGAAAGAGGAGTTTGCTCAAGTTTGGAGGCCTCTGAGTCACATTTTAAGAATAATATCTATTGTGATGACAGCAAACAAAAAAAGCCCTAATTTTACCTCCTATCAAGTGGAGGCAGGAGCTATTAAGCTCTAAAAGAAAAACCACAGTGGAAGTTGATGTGATAAAATAGTCTTTAAGTGTATTTATTCATGGAAGAAACAGCATTCCAAGTTATAGAAACCACCATTTTCCATGTACCCTGAAACATTTTTTTGTGAAAACATTCAGTTAAGAGAATGTATCAAAAATTGCTCATTCACTTTGCTTTTTATAGTTTTCTCAGAAGTATTTAGACTTTTCCAGCAAAGACAGAAACCTATAAAGAATATGGATAAACTGTTTAGCCATTTAGGGTATAAGTTTTGGTAAAGAATATGCAAGAATGTCTGAATGTTTATTGTTAATGATATAATATTTAATATATTTGAAAATATATGTATGGTACCAACAAATTTTATGTAAGACCAACGTTTTAGGTTATACAGAGTGGCCATAAAGCTCATGTGCAATTTAACATCGTGTACAGTTTAAAATTGCACACAAACTATGGCCACCTGTACTATCCCCCAGAGTTGTAGAGGTTTCATTTCTAAAATATCCATGGCTGGGTAATAGTGGGAATCTTAAACTGGTACCACCATTAAAAGATTCATGTATCTTTAATCTGTTAGCACAAAAATATGAAAGAAATAATTACTCTAAAATTATATTTCCATTTGTTAATCAAAAGAATGTTTTCACGCACAGGCTGGGCATGGTGGCTCCCACCTATAATCCTAGCACTTTGAGAGGCCAAGACTGGAGGATTGCTTTAGTCCAGATGTTCAGGACCAGCTTGAACAAGAGCCAGACCCCATTTCTACAAAAAACAGAAAAATTAGCCAGGTGTGGTGATGCACACCTGTAGTCCCAGCCACTTCAGAGACTGAGGCAGGAGGATCCCTTGAGCCCAGGAGTTGAGATTGCAGGGGGTTATGATGATGCCATTTCACTCTAGCTTGGGTGACAGAGGAAGGT